ACGAAATTGAAATCTGGCAAGCAGCACAAAATCAAAATAAACCTATTACATATTCTATTTATTCCAGGACTTTCAGATCAAATTAAACGAGTAGGTAAACAACTTAATATCAGGACTATCTTCAACACTGAAAATACAATTAGAAACAAAATTTCAGTTACAAAACCTCATGACAAAATTGAAAATACAAAAAATTTAATTTATAAAATTCCTTGCGAATGCAATAAATTATATATAGGAGAAACCTCAAGATCATTACACAAAAGAAATCAAAGAACACGAGTCATACATAAAAATCAGAGAATATCATAGCTCACATATTTGTCAACATGCATTTGATAATTGCCACAAAATTCAGTGGAATAATTCTACAATTTTAGCAAAGGAACCATCTACAAAAAAACGTAAAATTAAAGAAAGCGCATTAATTTTACTAAATCAAAATAATTGTGTTGCTTCATGTTCATTTAATTTAAGTCATACATGGTTACCTATCCTAAAATCTGAGGTACACCAGAGAAACATACACCCAAAATAAATTTACATCAAAATTAATAATTAACATTACCTTTAATAGTTTAAACAATGAGATTAATTCAAAGTCAGATAATTGTTGATAATATGCACCGACGAATTATCAGACCGAATTTTGACATATCGTATTACCCTACTATTGTTACACAATTTATTAACATACTCTTTATTAGGTTCATTTAGGTTCTTCTGATAACGATAGCAGAAAATGGCTATCGAAACGTTAAGGTAATTTTTCAAATGAATTTCTTTACTAATTGGAATTTTCTCTTACAGCTTGAGCCTAAGTGTGTCGCAGGATACCCTCTTGGTGATAGTTCTTGATTACTTTTCGATAAATAATTCGTTCTTTTTGCGAAATAACAGCACTATTTATCAATCTGTAATAAAAGACGTGAGCAAATTTTGTCTTTTTTAAAGACAAAAATTTTTGAGGCGATATACCCAACAAGCAGTTTGTAAAAAATGAATCCGCCTCAACAATATAAAATTATTTTTTGCTAAATGATTCGTGCTAGGGATTTTCAGTGGCTAGGATGCGTCCAAATAATTGCATTTTTTATTGTTTATAGCTATTTATTGCATTATTGGAGAATAGCACGTTAAAACGTTGCGTGTGATCCTAGTCAAACCTTTTAGATTTCGGGCTGGTTTTTTTTTACCCCAAGTAACTTTTTTTTAATGTTTCTGGTTTATGTAAGTTTGGCATTACTTTTACCCTGGTTTCCATGTAGATGTAGAACTTTCAGTCCAAAATTGTTGACTGGGTTCTATTATATAATTGCTCGTCATATTTATTCACCTGTTTCGTTTCACAATAACGTTAAATAATCCACAATAACCAAAACAGAAATGCGTGTTTGGCAAACTTGGACGAAGTATTACTCGAGCTAATTTTGGTACCACCAAAATTTTTTTTAAAAAGAATATGTCGCGCTTACAACGTTTATTCCTATTCAAATAACTTTCATTTCATCTCTGAATTTATATTTAAAAATGGCCAGCTTGCTTAAATGCAGGTGCATATTCTGCTTAAAACGTTTGCTATTTTACATTTCAACTGTGATGGAATTTATGTCTTAGACTGTTAGTTAACTCATAGCTCATATGCAAGTGCACAGTCTGCTTAGTTTGCTGGTAGTGGGCACTTAACCCTTGAGCAAAGTTTCTTGAGAGAAATAACTTTTTTGAAATTTATTACAGAATGTCAGAAAACTAAATACTTATAGACTAAAAACGCTGAATTATATCATCGCAGCAACTAAACAAATTTTTGCTGGTTCCTAGAGAACTGAACAGTAATTTTTATCAACGAAAAGTGATACACAATCATCAAGGCAACTCGTAACTGCATACAATATATTTTCCGTTGACAAATGGTTACTGAAACTGCTGCAACTGGATTTCGCTTGACGATGCCGCATCCGTTTTGTGCTGCGCGAACCACTTTTTCAGGTTTATGACACGGTTCCAAAAAAAAACCGGTTAAATCAGCTAGCTGTAACTACGGTTGGAGGTTACAAGTTTGGAACACTGTTATTTTACGGTTACGTTAACCATCCCTACTCACAAAACGGACCATTCCTACTCACATGTAGCGCGAAAAATTGACGAAATGGCTACGTTTTGAAACGTGTGTTTTCAAAACGGAAAATTGCCTTTTTAGTGTGTTACTTAAGTTATCTGGAAGAACATTAACATTGAAAGGTTATCGTGTGACTGGGAAAGCAAAAAAAGACCAATACTATTATGGATTTCCAAATCCATTTTGCTTACGTTATGTATGATGTTGCTAATCTTAAAATGCGACATCAACACATTCAATAATAATATTAATATTTGACCGAAGTTTGTAAAAATGAAAAACTAAAAATCTTTGTGATGATGTTTAATTTGCACTAACAATAAATAACGCGTATACCTATAAAAGCCCGTTTGTCGGCAAAAAACTGTTATCTCCATATAGTTATTGTGTTTATATATATCTGTATATTGGCAAATATTAGGACTATGGAATGGAGTTTTTTCAAATTATTCATAAATGTTGAACTGAAAGACTAGCAATGTTTGTTCAATGTTCCAAAAAGTATTTTTGGGAAGATTAATTATTTTTGTCGGTTGAAACATTGTCATCATACCAACGAACGAATATGAACGGTAAAGGTTCAGTTTAGTAAAGTTCTTCCCATTTGAGGGGAATTGATAACGATCGATATTTTAATATAATAAACCCATTAACTTATCAATCATTTTGAATCGTCAATCAGCAAGAAGCTTTATTGAATCTTATCAACTTGATGTCAAAATATTTTTAATTTAGATCAGTGAAAGCGGAACTTATTTTTCGTTACATAAGGCCACCGCTAGCCCTCCTTTAAATAGTCTGTCATTCCAGGGAAAAAACGTGTTACACGTTCCAACGAAAGGTCTTCAAATGGGCAACTTTTGGGGAATTGTGATTTTCCATCGTAAAACTGGATTTTCTTGTATTTAGCTAAGCTTATATTAAACATTGAAAGGTTATCATTTCAATTGGAAAGCAGAAAACGGCATGTGAATAATCATATTGTTTACGAAATTTAAGATTATGCTTATCTTTAAACTGCAGAAGCCATTGGCTATTAAAAATTATTACTCGCATGTGGCATCATGGCATTAAATTTTTTTCCTGTATACATTAACGCTGATGATCTGCTGACCTTTACAATAGCAAAAAAATTAAAATGCTTTTTATGAGTTTCGTTTTGCACAAACAATAAATTACCCGTTTATAAAAGCCCGATTGTCCACAGAAAACTGTTATCTGTTGTTAAATTGTCCACTTTTTATATATCTCATATTTGCAAACCTTGTACACAAGTATCAGAAAGTAACTGACATTAAAAGCTGCTTTCGAAAATAACATTAATTTTGTAAAAAAATCACGTATCGAAAAATGGTTCCTAGCAAAAAAAATTCCAAATATTGACCTAAAACACTTGCAATCTGTGGTCAAAATGAAAAAAGTATTTCGGACATATAACTTTTCTCATGACCTGAAAAACAGAATAAAAATTGACTTTTTCAACTACTTTTAAATACTAAAACGAAAAAAGTTGTAAAACACATCATGTAAAATGCGACGCTTCCTAAAAAAAATTGACAGACATTGTTTGAATAGTTGTGGGGAATATGCAAAAATATGCATTGACAGCCATGATAGTAAACATAATTTTCAGTTCAGTTATGTTGAAAACATGCCTCAGAATGAGCAAATAATGCTAAGCACTGAGCTGCAGGATAAGATTAAATTAGATTCGAAGAAACTATGCAAATTACCTTAGGATGACTTCAATAAAAGCAATTTAAAAAACCAAGATCAAACGAAAAATGAAACAGTAAATTTAAAGAAAATTATACCCATAAGCCATAAAAGCAATGAGCAGATACTTGCACTTCAGTGACATAATATTTAGCTCAAACTCGCTGGCAACAGATAAAATCAGTCTAAATTGTGTCATTCTAAGCCGGGGCTTTTCCTCCGGCCTATATATCGACTGATCCGAGAGTGGCTGTGTCATAAATAACGCCGCTAGCGTAAATGTCAGCTTGTTAAACACAGGTAGCAGTTAGCTGCAGTTTTGGATCATAACGGGATTAAGCTAGTCTGGTTATTTATAGTCCTGATCAAACTTACGCCAGCTAAATAGTCCTGCAGAGGACCTACTATAGCATAGAACAGCCGTCGTTTAGTGCACGACTGTAGATCGGCATAAAGTTCTTAAAAAATATTGTTAGTACAAATATGTGAAAACATTAGGAGAAATTGCTAGTAAAAATGTATAAATGCAAAAATGATGCTAAAATAATTTTCAAACAAGTAGAAACACAGCGAAGTTCTCTGAAACTGCGCTAAAACCACGAGTTAATAATCAATGGCTTTAAAGGTGGCATAACTCACGTTAAAGATGATGAACTACACGAACACAAACAGATACGAGCAAAAGAATTGCTGGTTGAAAATGTTAGAAAAAATAGTTTTATTCACTAAGCGTTTACTCATTATCGAAAAATTAAAGTCAACTTCTTTAGCTTCTTTGGTAACAAAGATGAGGCAACATCTACAAACCTTTACGTAGATTAAAAAAAATCAAATTATTTAAAATTTTCAAATGCATGAAATTGAAAATGTACTACTGAACCGAAACAGAAAACTTATGTAGAAAAAAATGGTTCACAATTTGAGAGAAACGGTTGAGGGTATTTCCTTGCAAAATCTTTTTAAACATCATTACAGTCTCAAATACTTGTTTTAATAGTGTAGGCAAATGGAAAAACAAGGGTTTGGTAGAGTCACTAAGACCAAAGAAGTTTTTTTATGGAAACATCTAAAGACAAAAACAAAATATTTTGCTCTCAGAAGCTGCTGCTAAAATTGAAAATACGGCAATGTCCTACAATTAGAAATAGCCTTGAAATTCACTCACCTTTACATTGGAAAATGAAAAAATTGTCTGGGGTGTGAAGGGAAAACTGCAGACAGTCCACAAAATCCCTGACACAGTCGCCAAAACTAAATGTAATCGCAACAGATGACGTTCTCATTAACATTACGTAAATTGGTGTTTTATTGGTAAGCGAAATACAAATATAACAAATAAATAGGAAAAAAACAATTTATTAAAAGGTCAAGAGATAAAATTATACATTTGCTACTCCAAGTAGATCAGTGAAGTTCTGAATTTAAAAAGTTTATTTTTAATTGAATAATAATATAGAATAAATGCCAATCACAGAATTGCGCAACTTCAGTTCATAACCTCGCGCCACAAAATCAGTTTTTATCGTATACAAGCATATTCCGATTCTATATGGAGACTTGATGTTAAACATTTTATTTATACGTCTTTATAAGGTCTTTATAAGTTAATATAAGTATTTATATGTCTTTATAAGGAAGGTAAACTTTGTGCATATTCGAATGGTATACATTCAATATATTGAATGGAGCTGTGGAAAAATGAAAGCTAAATCCATATAAACACAATTTATTTTCAAATTCCCCGAGAAACTACTTTGAAACCAAATAAACCAACCAAATAATGATGATCAGGCTAATAAATCAAATTTGATAAACTCACAACGGGTCGCACTAAAGTAACAAAGAATCGAGGAAAAAGTATGTTTACTTTAAAGTTCAATGAAGGAATAACCCTGCCTACAAAATTGCACTGATGAACTTTGTATTACGGTGACGTCGCCTGTTTTAATTCTAACGGAATTCACCAAACAATCAGATGTTTGATGCACTGAATCAGTAAATAAACCGTGATTGTAGTCGAGCGCATGAAATAATCATTCATTATTATATGTTTGTTTACACCGAGGATGCTTAACTTTAGGATGCACGTGGATGATAATGATTTATCTTCTTTACAATGAAGCAATCTTCGAATAACACAATTATTATTAAAATGCCGCATGCCCGCTTTTAGTTAACGCTCTATGTTTTTGAGTGTTATTTTTTTTATTTAGGCGCACTTTCTAAAAATATTTCATAATTTATGAAAATCTAAAAATAGTTAGTTAACGTCGTGTTATTGTGAATATAGTCGCTTAAAATTTCTCAAATAACACATTATCGGCAAATTTGTTCGAATCTGTTCTCCGCACAACATTAATTTGCACGCGGTTGATGCGCAAGAGTTTTTTTGCTGCATAATAGGCGTTCTACTTCTCATAAAGGAGGATCTCTTTTAATCCGCTGCGACTATCAATTGTGGGATTTCCACCTATGGCGTTTAAAAGATTTTGGATCTTTTTGTTTGTCTAAATCAAACCCAGGTGCCGGATTCAGTTCTTCGCCTTTGCGTAAGCTGATTTACTTTGATTTATATTTCAACTTGAATGCATAGAATTGTGCTAATTGCGCTTGTTGGGTGTGACTGAAGATTGTGTAAATATCATCCAAAATTTTCTGATGTGTAATTGTCATTAAAAACGCATGTATGTATTTTCGTTACTGAGTTTCAAATTTCGAAATTTTTCAATCTACCGCTAACCGCTTAATTGTTACCTGCTTTCTAATTGTTTAGTTTTTTATTTACTACTCCTTGTGAAGATTATCTTGGAATTCTTGAAACTGAAAGCACATGGAATTCTTACGGCAACGCTAAAATTTCAAATTTTTTAACATACAGTATGATTGGTATGCCAGATCAGGTGAATTTTCAAACGGAGTGGCCTTGAGGTAAATAATCATAGAATGAGGTTCTCAAAGAGAAGGACAGTGGAATAGAATTTAAAAAATAATGAACAATGAATTGAATGTACAGTGGCAACTGAAACAAATGTTTAACAATGAGGCAAACAGTACGTGGAAAATTTCTGCCTCAATTATTTATGGAAATTATGACATATTTTCCAATGGTAATTTAACAGAACGATTAATTTTTTTGAGCAACAACGCCATTTTATACTCTTTGAATTGGTTACAATTTCCCTGGGTTCAGTAGTGTATCTTTGCTGCTAAATGTTTCATTTCAAATGTAAATTAAATAAGAAACTTAGTAGAACAGTTAACATGTCGATAGCGATAAAATTGGAACTTGTTGTAGAATGATTTCAAGTATATAAACTGAAACGTCAAAATCGTTAAAACATCTAAGACACGAATTGGGTAATCATTAACTATGCTCCAAACATGAATTGAAAAACAGTGAAAATCCTCCTAAAAAATATTAACGGGGTTTTCAATCTTCTCTTCCAAATTTCAATCTTTCAATCTATGAAATTTGGTACATGCAGATCCATATAGAAGAACTAGTAATAAAATGTTTTAAGTGATAGTGATAAGTGACCCGTGTGGGGTTGCTAGTGGCGGATAGGGGAATGCTTCCCAGATATGCGTGGTACCGAGGAAATCAAATACTCGGGGCGGACCAAAACTAGCACCCAGGATACGACAGACTCCATGTTAGGAGCGGTAATCCGTGGGATAAACGGTTATTTTCATTCTTTAACAAGGTTACAACGTTCCAGTTTCACGTTGGTAATAGGTTTCAAAATGCGGTTCCAAAGGGAACATGTTACTTTTGAAATTTTTCATTAAACATGCGCAATGATGATGATGGTAGAAATAGTAATGACAAATAATGATTTAGTTTATTAAAATAATAATTCTTATCTAAAGCTCTTAGATAAAATCAAATATTCTAAAATCAAAAGCAAAACATGGGACACAAGTACCTGCTTAAAGAACAAAAGAACTGATAATAAACTAAAATATATAATTAAAAAATGATTAAATAAAATATACGGTTTATTTGCAAAAATGTTTAAAAACCTAATTTTCATTTAAAAATGAATTAACCTTTAAAAATATTTTTTTGCAGATGCTTTTTACTGAGTTCGAAGTATTACCCAAGTTAATTTTGGTACCACCAAAAAATACTTTTAAAAAATCTGTCGACCTTACAACGCCTATATAACTCATTTCATCTTGTGACTGAATTTATATCTGAAAATGGCAAACTTGCCTGAATACAGGTGCACATTCTCCTTACAACGTTTATTATTTTACATTTCAACTGTGATGAAATTGATGTCTTAGACTATAAATTTGGTCATGGCTCATATGCAAGTGTACATTCTGCTTAGTTTGCTGATTTGTAGACATCTATCAATCTCGAGCTAAGTTTATTAATGAGAGTAATCCATTTTTTTTTAAGATCTATTACAGAACGTCAAAAAACCAAATACTTATAGACTAAAAATGCTGAATTAATTCTGAGCCAAATCTGAACGATTATGGATTCTGGAGAACTGAACAGGAATTCTTATAAACGAAAAGTGATAAACACAATAATCAAGGCAACACGCTATACTAAACTATACAAATGTTCGGTTGACAAATGGTTATTGAAACTGCTGCGGTTTTGTGCTAACGCGAACCACTCTTTCAGGATGATCAGACGGTTCAAAAAAAAACTTTTAAATCGGCTGCAGCTAGTGCGAAGTGCGCACAACTGTTTAGGCTTTATGCGACGGTTCCAAAAAGAACGGTTTAAGTCGACAAACGGCTGCATCTGAATAGATCGCTCGACGTTGTCGCATCGGTTCTGTGCTGGTAGGCACCGCCGTTACGGTTTTATGAGATGGTTCCAAAAACAACCTTTTAATCGGCAAACGGGTGCAGCTGGTTCGAAGTGCGCTCAACTGTTTCGGTTTTATGAGACGGTTCCAAAAAGAACGGTTTAAATTGACAAACGGCTCTCGACGGTGTCGCATCGGTTCTGTGCTGTTGCAAACGGCTTTTTCGGGTTTATGAGACGGTTCCAAAAACAACCGGATAAATCTGCTAGCTGTAACTACGGTTTCAGGTTACACGTTTGTAACAACATACCGACATATGACTATTCACAATGGATAAACAGAATCAAGCAACGGCCTTCAGTCCCGGGCACCCCTTAAATGGAGAGGAGGTGCTAAGAATCCCCCGGTCTTCCAATGATGTCTTCAAAGTAAAGCAAGAAAAGAGAATTGGCACGTGGTATGTGCAAAGTATGTGCCAATCCGTCCTTCAATCAAACATTTTGAATGAATATTTGTTTCGTGTGAATCATTTTTAGTCTACGGATATTCACAGAAATATTGCTCTGAAGGTTTTCGTATTGATTCCTCACTAGCAATGTCTGAAAAACATAAACACAAAATATCACATAAGAATCAATTTGTGATTTGTGCCACTTGCTTAATATTTCAGGACCGTACATTTTTTTTTAATTTTGGGCTAGTTTTCAAATAATTCCACTTAAGTACAAGCAAACATTTATGATGACACTTACAAGTGACCTGAGCTTTTAATTAATGGGCTTTAAATAATGGGAAAGCTGTTGCTTAAAGATCATATTAGCAGCAAGGAAAGCAAGCCTAATTCACATGAATATTATTAATTCCTGCTTTCTGCGTGCATTTTGTGCGCCGAACAGATGCAGTAAGACGTAAACAGTAAGTGTTTGGAAATAGATATGATTATTAACTGCAAGGGTTCCAAATATTTTTTTTATTAGTGAGAAATTATTAACAGAGTTGGTGATCATTTTTGTCAATTTTAATTAAACTAACAAATTTCACAAGTAGTACTAAAAAGAAAACTTTATTCAGGTCACATTGTCCAGCAAAAAATTAATCAAACGGAAAGTAGAAAACATATTTTTTAAATTAGTGTGAATAACTTTTAATTAATCAGAATAAGCGGTAATTAAAAGTGTTTTTAAATCTATTGAATGCTAAAGTCCTTGTTTCCATGTTTGCCAATATGTAGTTGATAGATCGGGAATCAAAGAATGAACTGAACAAAAATTAGTCTTCTGAATTTGCTCTTCATAAATAATATTTGCAAAACGACTATTTTGTTGCTTCATTTCCTTATAATTTTTTTTCTCTTAGGGCATAAATATTACGGTATGTTTCCAGATTGATTAATAGTTTAATTAAACTTCTGCTTTTTTGCGTCATATCAGCCAACCAAATTCACTGGTTTGATGCTTGGAAAATCATAAAATGTTAGTCAGAATTATACATTTCAATGCAGATGGCTCTTTCAAGACAAAACTTATCA